CCCGAGCGGCCTTTGCCTGACCCTGGGACAATTTGTTGATAACTGTGTTTTGCACGTCCTACTTTGCTAGTTGTAAAGGGCAACTTTCTGAAATTTTTCTTTTTCTTTGGATCAATGAGAACCTGTATCTACTATATTAACAATTAGTTAATTAACAAATACCTGGAGCAACAATTTCACGGTCAATTGAATCGACCTTTGGCATACATGTCGGTCATTGGATTGATCGTCTGTTCCATAAATTTCATGAACATCCATCACTTTTTGCAATAATAATGCGCAATTTTCGAAAACTGATTTTGCCGCGTTTGATCTTGATTTTACAGTTAACAAATTGGTGAAATATGACTTTAGATACTTTAAATTGTAGGTAATTTAATTACCTACAACATAAAATAACTAATTTTCTAGATTTTCATGGGCAGTAAAAAAGTAAAATAACACGTAAATTTGACACTTATTTTTAGATATTATCGTTCTACATACCCTTATAAATATGATATTCTTAAAAACAGTATCGGAATGGTCAATTACGTTCACGGTCCGATGCAGGATATACAGTACTTATAGCCTTTATTACTCTATTATTTTAACAAATTTTTTCAGTTTTGTTGTTTACAATTATTTACTCCTTGATCAGTTTTTTCTTTTTTTAAGGAATGCAATATTTACGGAGATAGCAATCCCTTCTGTTTTGCTTAAAAATAAAAAAAAGAAGAGCTTTTGAGACAAATGACCTTCACAATACTAAAGACAATAGTTCGACTTATCGTCAGTAAATATTTGGAATTTTTTTACCAATTAACAACAAAATTACGACGAGTTAAAGTGACGAGTATCAATTTTATAGGCAGAAAACCGTAATTTTTTCAAGATTTTCATTAATAACTAAAAAATGGGATAACCAAACTAACTGAAATTTTAGCACACAATAGAGTAATAGTGAGGCTAGATATGGTCAAAATTTCAATTTTTTTGCCCCTACGTTTTCTTAATATCGGTTTCCAAAGTCAGGGGTCTATTAAATTTATTTTGCTAGTAGTGCTATAAAGTCTATGGCAAATAGTAATATAAATATAATTGGTACTACTGAATAAATATTAATCATTAGATATAAAGGACGTATTAATAGCCACCAATGTACCTTTTTATGACGACACTTTGACTACATCGTCAAATATTCTTGTGTGAATAATAATTATTGTAAAACGTAAACCTGTCTAAAAGCTGTTTTACATTGACAATTTATTGATCAATTAATTGATGAAGTCGCTTAATCAAGAAATTGGACAAGTGTAATGCACCAAATCAGTTGTCAAATAACTTCATCAATTTATTCATCAAGTTCTTGACGAATTAGAGCATGTTCTAATTTTCGTCAATTTCTTCGTGAAGTTCGGAAGTACCAACCCAACATGTGTCAGAACGGTACCGCTGTTGTATCACTACAATTATGAGTGGAAAGGTGACATTTTTGAAAT